AAAGTTATTTTGTTGAAATTGTTGTTGTTGATCATTATAATTATTGGATTCATGAAAGCGAGCACTAGAATAGTTACTACTTTGATGAAAACGAGGATTATAATAATTATTTCCATGTGAAAATCGTGAATTATTTGATGAAAAACGAGGATGGAAGGATGAACGATTATTATTGTATTGCTGAAATCGTGGTTGAAAAGAGTTTCGTTGATTATTTTGTTGACTATTATTTTTATAAAAGAGATTTCGTGGATTTTCATCGTCAGATACGAATGTAGCTACTGCTGGATTATTATTAGCAGAAGTAGCCATAACAGTTGTAGTTGTTGATGATGGTGTAGCTTGATTTGATAGTTTCAATAAATCTTCGATTTCTAGTGCATTTTCTAAGAATTGTGATGGTGTTTTGGGAAACGCTTTACGTACTTCATATTGTAGCGACCCTTTCATATTTTTGAAAAGATATCGTAGTTTTTCATGATCAGACATACATGGGTCTGCTTCTCTGAATATTTGAATCATTTCAGAATAATAATTTCTGATACTTTGTGTACCAGTTTGTGTATACGTTTCCAATTTTCGATATGCTAATTCTGAATGATGGGAAGATTTAAATGCTTTTGTAATCTTCTTTACGAATTCATCCCATGTTGTAATATTTTTCCTATTTTCTCTATACCAAACTAGAGCTTCACTTTTCAAATGATATGAAATTATAGCTAGTTTACTAGAGTCTTGAATATCACCATTATCAAACTGTGTTTCAACTTCTTCTAACCATTTTCCAACCTCTTCATTTTTACCTGTTGCTCCAGAAAAAGTTTTCGGATTGTTGATCATTTTCCCCATTACTAGTTTACGAAGATCTGTTGCTGTTTGATTTAATTCATTAAGTTTTGAAATATTTGTTGTTTCAAATGTTACTAATGGTCGACACGTCATGGTGTCAGTATGTGAAGATTCTACTGGCGACGCGCTCTTTCAAGCTGTACCAAAAGATATATTACTTTCTTCTGCAACTATAGTTCGTTTCGGTTCAAAATCTGTTTTTCCAATTTGAATTTCTCTGGTTTGACTTATTTCGGAACTGTTGTTGCCGCTGAAACCACCATTCTTTCTTGGGACCACTCTTATTTTTGTTATATATAGATGACCTACCACTTGCTCTAAGCGCGTCATGCAAAATGTTTGCGGATGATGTATCGCTGTATACTAAGGTAAATAATAATATCGTACTAGCTGCTGCTAAACTGAACGATGACTTAAAGAAGGTGTGTGAATGGTCGAAGAGATGGTGTCTTCCACTGAATGTAAAGAAATGTACTGTATGCTATTCACGAGTATTATTAAGGCTCCTGGTCCGCCTTTACTTATTGATAACTCTATATTACCGTATGTTCAAAAACATGTTCACTTAGGTTTGACACTGACGCCTACTTTAGAATGGAAGACACATATTCTTGATATCTCCAAGAAACTTTCACGCACAGTGGGCCCGATGAAGTACTTGAGCCGAAGGATTTCTTGTGAGACGCTAAACTCTATGTATCATGCCTATGTACTTAGTGTCATTAACTATGCTCTAGTTATTTATGGGAGTACTGATGAGTGTAATCTGAAT